GGTCTTCTCCCAAATGACCCACCAGGCTGAAGTAGTGGAGAGAGGTTTAGATAAATATGCTAGATAGTTCAGGGAGACTTTAAGACAGAGCCTCTCAGTTAGCGAGGACATCTTAGACTCTGGCCAAGAGGGCTCGAGATAATCAGGGTTTGTCAATACCCTCAACAGTACAATTGAGGACTGGACAAAGTTTGGATTGAGGGGGTAGATCTGAGACTCGGAGGAGACCTTTTAGTGTTTGATTTAGAAGTTAGTACCCATGTTTTGCCCAGAGGTTTCAGTCGTCCTGTCTGTGCATAATGTGTAAAGAGATACAAATTCCAGCATAGAACGTAGAGATAGGTGTTCGAGACTTAAGCCCTTTAGGTTTAGACATCCTGATGGATCAATCTTCAGACGATGCCCATTGAGGATTTAGGATCAGATTTTCCTAGTGACTTTATGGAGTTACCCTTTAGGGAGTTCAACTTGATCTTGGGAATGGATTAGCTAATCGAGCACGATGCAAGTTTTAGATGTAAAGCCAGACGGCTTAAACTCAGAACAGTTGATGAGACCAAGTTAGTAATGACTAGCGAGAGGTCTCGGTAGACAAGGATAATTTCAGCTTTGAAAGCCAAAATGATGATCGACCAAGGGTGTAAGGAATTCTTGGCTTATGTGGTCGACACCCGAACCTCAGTCCCTATACTCGAGGATATCTGAGTAGATCGAGATTTTCCTGACATGTTTCTAGAGGAATTATTGGGCTTACCACCCCGAGTGAGTTGGAGTTTGCATTAAAGTAATACGGTTCAGCTCCAGTGTCTATTTCTCTCTACCACATAGCACAAACAAAACTGAATGAGGTAAAGGCCCAGATTTAGGAATTTCTAAAGAAGGGTTTCATCTGACTGACCATCTTTCCTTGGGGAGCGCCAGTCTTGTTCACTAAGAAAAAAAATGGGTGGATGAGGCTATGCATCGACTACAGACAGTTAAACAAGTTAACCATTAAGAATCGTTATCCACTCCTTAGATAGACGACCTCTTCGACCAGCTGAGAGGGGTGAGCATCTTCTCAAAGATTGATCTATGATCAAGATACTATCAGTTGAAAGTCAAGGAAGCATATGTGGCAAAAATAGCTTTTAGGACAATATGGTCATTATGAATTCTTGGTGATGCCGTTTGGACTCACTAATGCTCCAACATTATATAGACCTTATAAATCGAGTCTTTCACCACACATAGACTATTTTATGGTGGTGTTTCTATACGACATTATGGTGTACTCCAGATTAAAGGAGGACCATAATCAGTATCTCTGTATTATCCTTCAGTTCCTCAGAAAGAGATAGATGTATGCCAAATTTAGAAAGTGTGAGTTTTGGCTATCAGAAGTATCATTCTTGGGACATGTCATTTCAGTAAACGTATCAGATTCGACCCTAGAAATTCATGCTATAGTGGAGTGGGAGCCACCTAAGAATGTGTCAGAGGTGCCTAGTTTCATTAGATTAACCGGGTATTATTGTCATTTCGTCAAGGGCTTCTCAATGATAGCCTCCCCATTGACTAAATTACTTCATAAATGAGTCCCCTTCATATGGAATGAGAAGCGACAAGAGAGCTTCAAATAGTTAAAGGTCATCTTGACCCAAGCCCCAGTGTTGACCCAACCAAATCCGGCTAAGGTCTTCACAGTTTTTAGTGATGCATCGTTGAATGGACTTGGGTGTGTTCTAATGCAGGAAGGTAAAGTTATGGCTTATGCGTCGTGTCAACTTAAACCTCATGAGGGTAATTACCCTACACATGACATTGACCTTGCAGTAGTGTTTTCAAGATTTATCGACACTAGCTCTTTGGTGAGAAGTGTCACATCTTCACCGATCACAAAAGTCTCAAGTATCTTTTCACTCAAAAAGATTTGAATCTCAGACAGTGTAGATGGGTCGAGTTACTTAAGGACTACGACTATGTGATAGATTATCATCCTGTAAAGGTCAATGTTGTAGTAGACGCCTTGAGCAGAAAGTCAATGACAGAGTTACGAGCCTTCCTAGCACATCTGAGTTTATCTAGTGATGGAGGGTTGTTAGCTGAGCTACAAGTTGATCCAGAGTTGGTAGGTGATGTTAAAATACTGTAGAGTTTAGATGATCAGTTGAGAGCCTAGATTGAGAAGGTCCGTCAGGGTGAGGCCCGGGTTTTGAGTTGTGTGATGAAGATGTATTGTACTTTAGAGGTCATTTGTGCATACCTATAGACGCTCAGTTGCGCGATATAATTCTCTACGAGGCACATTACAGTCCACTCTCAGTACACCCCGGCTATGAAAAGAAAAGTGTCAGAGCTTGTCGCTAGATGCCTAATATGTCAGTAGGTTAAGGCGAAAATCAAGGTTTCCTTAGGTTTGATCCAGCCCATTCAGATTCCTTAGTGAAAATAGAACAGGGTAATCATGGACTTCGTAACCGAGTTACCAATGACCAAACAAAGATATGATGTATTTTGGGTTATAGTAGATCATCGGACCAAATCAAAGCACTTACTTCCAATTATGATGGACTATACCTCAGAGAGGTTAGCTCAGTTATACATTCATGAGATAGTGAGGTTGCAAGGTGTATCAACTTCCATCATATCAAACAAAGACTCCTGATTCACTTTTCATTTCTGGAAAGCCCTCCACAAGTCCTTAGGCACCAAACTGTACTTCAACACATCTTTTCATCCTCAGACAGATGGCTAGTCTAAGCGAGTTATCCATATTCTTGTGGACATGCTCAGTTGTACTATCATTGATCTAGATGGTAGTTGGGAGGAGCATTTGACGTTAGTGGAGTTTGTTTACAACAACAACAATCAGTCGAGCATTCAGATAAATCCATATGAGGCCTTGTATGGCCATTAGTGTAGGACTCCACTTTGTTGGACAGAGCTCAGTGAGGGTAAGATGGTAGGCCCAAACTTGATCGGAGAGACAGAGGAAAAGATCAGTATGATTCAGAGCCAGCTTAAAGAAGCTTCAGATAGACAGAAGTCTTACGTAGATTTAAAATATAAGGACATCGAGTTCACAGTTGAGGACAAGGTGTTCCTCAAGGTTTCCTCATAGAAGAAAGTAATCTGCTTTAGGCATAAAGAAAAGTTGGCTCGTCACTTCGTAGAACCTTATGAGATGCTTGAAAGAGTTGGACCAGTGGCTTAGATGTTATCCTTACCACCAGATTTGGAGCGCATCCATAACGTGTTCCTTGTATCTATGCTCAGAAGGTACCGCTCGGATCCTTCACACTTCATACCCTTAGAGCAGATTGAGGTCATTATATATATGACCTATACAGAAAAACCAGTCAGAATCTTGGTAAGCGAAGTGAAAGAGTTAAGGAACAAGAGGATTTCACAGGTCAATGTGCTATGGAGGAACCATTGCATCGATGAGGCAACTTAGGAAACCAAGGATGACATGCAGCTTCAGTACACCCACCTCTTCTATCCAGGTAAATTTCTAGGACAAAATTTCTTATTAGGAGGAGAAAGTTGTAACACCCCAGATTTTGGTTTAGAAGTTTCGGGTCAACCCCAGTTGGGCCTTGAAAAGTAAAAAGGGTGTTTTTAGTCTGCATTCAAAATCAAAGGGACCAAGGAATTAATTTCAGCAATAAAGATTTCAAAAGCTGAATAGTTATTAATTATTGGTGATATCACATTGTCTTCTCCCTTTTTTCTCAACTCTTCTTTGTCTTCTTCTCTTCTCTTCTCTTCATCTACTTATTTTTCAAGATAAGCCTAAATGTGGAAACTTTATAAATTTCCAACTATTGCAAGATTAAGCTAAGGTAAGAACCATCATGCTTTCACTTTCAGCTCTAATTCAAGCTCCCATTTGTAGGTTTTGGTGAACAAAAAACCAAAAAAAATAGGTTTAGTGAAGGTTTTAGAAACCCAAGTATTTTTCAGTTCGTTTTGGAGAGATTTAGGCCTCTTAGAACATTTTAAATTATCCTCTAATCATCCCAACAATGTTAGTGATTTATATTCTTGATTTTTTCTAGTGGGAGAAGTTGAGAAGGCTCTCAATCAACGGGGAAGGAAAAACTCACCTTGGGTTAAGTCGTTGACACTACCAGTAGCCAAATACTCAAGGTAACTCATTTTTAACTCACCAATATCATGTGTATCTCATTTAGATGAGATTTGATAGGTTGCATGAGCTTGAAGCATTTTCATGGTAGATTCATATTTTTGATGCTTCAGTATGTGTTAAGACCTTTTATGACCCATTTTTATCAAATAAAATACTTGAACATCACTTGGGGACCTCAATGGGACTTTTGGGTATGGAAATATAAGATTTTTTTCATGCCAAAACAAAGCCCCCATGAGCGAGAGTATCAATAATGTAAAATAATATTGATATTATTCTTCAGTCAAGCTTAAATCAGACAGTTTTATAAGGATAATATCGATACTCATTCATTGGGTATTGATACCAGGGAAGGAGTATCGATACTCCCCATAAGGTTATTGATATTGGGTAATTTTTGAAACATGAAACCTAATTGATACTCGGTCAAGTATCGATACCCTCACACTAGAGCATCGATACTTATCCTTGAGTATCGATACTTCCTTAACCAAAAAGCCAGGTCAAACAGGGGGTATTGATACCAACATGTAGATATCAATACCAAGGGATTGGTAACGATACTGATGGGTTAGTATTGATACCCACGAGAAAATTTTGATAAATAATCCAAGGGTTAAGGGAAAAGACTAGAGGTGCCCCAATTACACTCTAATAATAGTAAATAAGACTTCAAGTGATAAGAGTAATTAATATCATAATAGTAGAAATCGTAACAGTTAGGTTACAAAAACCTAGCCTTGTTTGAGGCTCAGGAAACGGTTAGGACATCCGAGTTTCTCTTTAGCAGAGTACGATAGTAAGTGGATATCCAAGTCAGTTTATAACACTTCAGCAGTCGACTAGGAGTCAGATGCCCTAAGACTCGACAAAGTGGTTGGCGGGTGTAAGTTTTCGACGACAAAATTTTGGATTCCCACCCGGTAGACTAGAGGTGTGTAAGCTCTGAGATGACATAATCCCTCCACCGCACCATGATGCCTACTATAGTTTAGCAAAGTAGGTTTTAATATATTATTTCTTCACATATTTCATACCTATGTCGCAAGCCAACTCTTTTAATGAATACATAATATTGTACAATTATTAGTAAGGCACTAAGCTCGTAAGCTCAGTGTTCGGAATAAGTTACCATGTGCAGGACCTTAGGGGCAGTTTGAGGGGAGTTATCGCCACCAGGCATTCTAGTTCAGCAGATCAGATCATTAGAGACCACCAGAGTACGTCTTGATTTATCTTTAGAGGGCATATACTATTATAGAACCTTGTTGCATTCAGTCGTAACTTTATTTGGTACTTATTATTTATATTTTGTGGATGTATTTTTGGAGGTCCCCATCAATTTGTAAACCATATTATTATCACATTTTATTTTTTCATTATGGATGATTATCTATCAGTAAATTATAAGCATGTTTTTAAAGGAAATTTTTGTGTCACTATTTTGGTAGTCCAGTGTAACATTGTAATCCATGGATCTATGGGTCAAACTCGATTAGAGTGTTACAATAGGATTCACTTGAAGATAAAAAATTTCATGAAACAAAGCTAAAATCGCGCACACACCCTGAACTGAATCAACATCACCCTTTACAAAAACCAACAAATCATCAGCAAAAGAAAGATGACGAAGCCCCACCCTCTAACACCTAGGATGATACGCAAAAACCCCACAACGAACCGCACAATTAAGCAAACAATACAAAAAAAATACCAAGAATAAACAAATATTGAGATAAGGGATCCCCTTGATGAACTCCTTTAGCCCCACTAAAATAACCAACCAATCCACCATTCAACGCAAAAGAAAACTTAGAATAACAAACACAAGCTTCCACTCATCCCTTAAACTCCAAAGGAAAATTCAAAACCTTTAAAACTCGCATAATATAGACACAATCAATCGAATCAAATGTTTTCTTTAAATCTACCTTAATCGCACACCTACACGAGATTTGGTTTCAACCATACCCTTTCAAAAGCTCCTGAGCTAGTAGAACATTATCTACCATCTCTCTTTCCTCTATAAACTTACTTTGATTATCTCCAATATCATTCAGTAACACAACCTTCATACGTTCTGTAATTATTTTAGTAATGTACTTGTATACAATACAACAACACGAAATATGTCTGAAGTCTATAACCACCAAAGTATTCAGAAAATTAAGCATTAATATGATAGTTGTAGCTTTAAAACCAGTATGGAGAACATTAGTCGCAAAAAAATATTAAACCGCTTCCACAAAATCCCCTCCTACTACATCCCACGCAGCTTGAAAAAACTTAGTTGTGTAACCATCCAGCCCGAGAGCCTTATCCTTATTCATACCAAATAACATATCCTTAATTTCCTCCCCTTAAACCCCCAACTTACCATTAGAAACCCTAACCCCTAAAACTTCACCCAACAATTCATTTGTGAACTTCCTCGAGACCCTGTCCGCGCTCCTTAAAGTATGACGAAAAAAACTAATAAACTCAACAACAATATCTCTGAAACCTTCAACCTAGCCCTTATATCTTCAACGAAACACCTAATCGAATCTCTATTTTGCTTAATAGCAACCCTTTGATAAATATTTAGTATTTTGATCCCTCATAAACAAATTTAATCTTAGATTTCTGTATGTAAAACTACTTCTCCACCCCCTGAATGACACTTAACTTTGAGGCAATTTTCCTCTCCTCAACCACTAAATTAGGCACATAGGAAACCATCAACCTAGACTACACTCCCTCCAACTCCATCCTTTTACCACTTACCCTACCAGAGATATCACTAAAATACCTATTGTTCAACCCCTTAACATCGGTTTAAGGCTCATTAATTTACAAAAAAAAACTAACCATAGGATCCCCTCTCACATTCTCACCCCACGACTCTCGTACCACATCCAGAAACTCAGCATGTGTCACCCAAAAATTAAAAGATTTAAATGGCCTAGGAGGCTTATATTCAGAAGCTTGTAGTCGTAAAACACCAGGAAAATGATCAGATATATCCATAGGGAGAAATTCCACTATAGAGCCTGAAAACTGAGAAAACCAATTAGCTGAAACCAAAACTCTATCCATCTTTATGCATAACAACCCCACCTCCTACTTATTAGACCAAGTAAACAAGCCACGTGAATAGGAATGATCCACAAGACCCAGACCTTGCAAACACTCAACAAACTCAAGTGTGTCCTAACTTATAGGTTAGCCCATCAAAATCAAAACTCTCCCTCGGATCAACAACCATATTTAAATCCCTAGCAACAAACTAACCATTATCTCTAATACTATTATGCAACTCCCCTAGCTCTTCTCATAACATCATCTTATCCACCCCCATATTACACCCATACACCGCTAAAAAATCAAAGAAACACCCCCTTTACAAACCCTACAAGATAACATATATTTAGTGGTTTGAAGAAGCTGGTAACTCCAACCTTTCTTCTAAAGAAACCAAATACGTTCATTATCAGTATACCCTTATTTGTTATAACTATCCCAATCCAAAAACACCCTATCAAGAATACCTTTAGAATTATCCTTTTTAACACTCGTTTATACTAAAACAAAAAAAAACACACCTTCAACAATCTAGCCTTACTCAACACACATCCCTACTTCACATGATCATTAAGGCCTCATACATTCCATACTAAGAAACTCATTACGAAACTAGACCTAGACTTACTTTTCCTACTTGTTTCACACCTCTACCCTTCTTTCTCCCCTTAGTTTGCTCCTTCAGTTTTAAAGTGGTCATCAATTCTAACACCTCGGTCACAACAACTTGCTTCTCCTTAACCACCTCATCATTAATAGAATGAAGAACCTCAAATCTATTCGACTCCAAAACACCACCCACTAAAACCAACCTAGAAAGACCTACCCCCAACCCCTCCACAACTGAACTAGAATGACCACAATCTATACTCTCACCCTTCGTAACTTTCTTCCCCTTAGCCTCACCCAAACCCACACCACCCCCTATCCAACAACACCTTAACCTTCTACCTCCAACCCACTTAATCTCTCCTTCACCACAACCTTCTCATCACCACCTCCAGCCACAGTAGACTACACCTCATTCAACCCCTAATCAACCTCTTCATAGGGAAAACTTTACCTCAAGACCAGACCTCCTACAATCCATACATTTAGAAGAAAGCCAACCAACCTCTACACTAACCTCAGCAAACCCACCATGACCCAAGTCCACCTCAATAAAAGACAGAATCTCATCCTCAACACCTATCTCAACACAAACCTTAGCATCGTCCAGATGAACCCCTAAATGCATGCTATGATTAGAACATAATGACCGACCAACAACACTCGCAAGATAACCAAGCCCTTTTTATTATAAAGTTATAAAGAAATCTACCCCAACTTAACCCAAACTGATGTATTAGCCAAGTCAAACTTCACTTACTGAATCTTAGGCACCCATTTTTTTAACAACAAACTTTCATGTTGAATATACCAAGGACCTGCATTAAGAACGCAATCCCTCAATACCAATAAAAGAAACACAATCAGATAAAGATTAGGTCTATAATACTTTACCTCAACAGCCCTTCTCAGCCACATAATTTGTTAGCAACCTTATGAAACAAACAAAAATTAGGAGGGTCACTAATGAATTACCCAACCAATGAAGTATTTCATTGAGCCGAACCTGCCTCCAACATCTCCTGAGGTGGTTGAACCACAATCCTACCATCCATTTTAATCGGTGGAAAATAATCCAAACAATGTACCTTATTAACATCAAACAAAGATTTCCAATTCAAATGACTCGAATTACCTAAAAAAACGCTACTAGATGCCTCCATCAAATTCGGTTCCTCTCTAATCTTCCTAATCGACCCAACTACCATATTAAAAAATACAGGAGGAGAACCAAATCCACCCCTTTACTAGCCAATCCAACAACATCCATCAACTTCGAAAGTGATGAAAATAAGAATCCAACAGAGATCTAGAACCTCATTGCCAGCCTGACCATCCCCAGCCTTTGAAACAAATCCCAGAAGATTAGAAACCAACAGAGATCTAGGACCTTCCTTACCAACCAGCCAAATCCAGCCCCCGAAACTGCCTTTGAAAGCAACGAAGTAAAAGACACACTCACCACACTTTGCGCCACCGATCCACCAAGCGAAGTTAATAATCCAAGTTTAAAAACATAAAATCCCCACTAGGGCCACTCAGACCCATAAGCGAGAGAAAAGGGGAAAATCTAAAAGGAGTATAACATATTTTTCTCATATTGATAAAACACAAAAAAAAAACCATCAACGCAAGCTTGTACCGATGGTTGCCACACAAATAAACATTAGATGGGAAACACCTTGTCACCATCTAGTAATGGTTGAGCAAAGCGTCTGCTTCATTCAGATGCGTACGGTACTTCACGCCACACGTGACCATTAAACTATTACTCATTTTCATATTGACTACATACGTTCCGATTTGATCAATCAAATCATCCAATTATTTAAATGCTTCAATTAAACCACTGATCGTTAATTTTAACAGAGTTGGTGACGTGTTAGTTAATAAAATTGGCATAATTATATTTGGTCCTTAATATTTACACATTCTATCAATTTAGTCATTATTTTAATTCAATTAAATAAATTTAACTTAATAAATTAATCATGGTATTAGAAGGTGACACGTGTTAATACATGATTGGAAGATTTTATTTATGAATTTTAATTTATTTAATTAAATGATTTTCTATTCAATCTGGAGGTAACACGTGTCACCACCCAATTGAAGTGAAAATAAAGGGGACATATTTGCACTTAAGAAGAATCAAACCAACATTAAAGAGAAAGATTCAGAAACTGGGTAGCCAAATCACAAGGCCAAAGGTCACCAACGGTTTAAACTCACAACAGATTGTATCAATAATAACGATAAAAAAAGAAATAAAAGAATTTAGAATTTACACAATTATAAAATAAAGGAGCATATAATAAATAAATATAATATTTTATTTATATTTAAATACATTATATATATATTAAATTGAAACTAATAGAAGATTTACAATAAAAATAAATTTATTCTTTTATATTTTAAAACAAAATTTAATAATTTAATAATTTATTTTATAATTTTATATTTAATTCTGATTAGGTGGTGGCACGTGTAAATCTTAAAATATAAAAACATAATTGAAAATCATAAATTTCATATTTTATCTTTATTTTTATTATTTAATAATTTATAATTCATTTTTATATTCTTATTTTACATTTTAAATTTAATATTAAAATATAAAAAATTAAATTTATTTTTATAGTAAATCTTTCATTAACTACAATTTAAAAATATTATATTTGTTTAATTATTTATGTGATCTTTTGTTTGATAATTTGTGTGGGTTCTAATTCTATTGTTTTTTCATTTCTACAATTTTATCAATAACAAGGTTTTAAAGGAAAAATACAATTTCTATTTTATAATTTATGTAGGTTCTAATTCTATTTTTTGTTTAGTCGATCGAACCAATAGAATGGCCAAGAAGGGGTAAATTGACAAATAAAATACCGATGGAAGCTTTTTGCAAGAGAATGAAATATTTGACACAAGCATTTTTAGAGTGGTTCAACTTGTTCAATTAAGTCTACATCCACGACCTTAGCTTCCACACTAAGGATTGCAACAAATTCACTAATTTGTTTAAACTTTTTAGGATAAGATGTAACCTTACGACACACTTAGACTTGTATCCCAAAGTCTCAAGTGTACAACCCTGCCTGAGAAGAAATTACAAATAACAAACTTTAAAAAAATTCTTACAATGAATGTGGTTCAATACTAGAAAAAACCCCTTTAATGAAGCGCATTGATCGTCATCTATGGGTGCAGATGACACACAAATGCGCGTCATTAAAGCCACCGACATAAATCTCAGATGACACGCAATTGTGCGTCATAAATCTATGACGCGCATTTATGACACGCATTTATGACGCTCATTGCGCGTCATTGAAGCCCCGTCATAAATAAAGAAGACAAACATTTGTGTGTCATAATTTATGACACGCATTTATGACTTACATTGTGTGTCATTGAAGCACACGTCATTAGAAAAGATGACACACATTCATGTGTCGTGATTGTATGTCGTAAATTATATATATATATATTGTAGATTGACAAATAATCAAACTAAATCACATTTAATGCCTCATAATACAAAATATGTATATCATATTATATATAAGCAATCCATTTGAATACAATATATTAACATTAAGTTATCAAAAATATTGTAATCATATGTCAATACAAAATATCATGGCATAATAAAGTTTTCCACATTAGATACCAATTCTTTAGGAATATTAAACATGTAGACGTTGCGGGAGATGCAACTCCTCTAGCTTCTTCTGCAATTTTGAAGTTGCTTCTTCAGAGTCGAGAACTCTTGAAACAGGCTGTGAATGAGCATTGGCTTCAACTGAACTAGTAGGAACATCAGATGCACCAGCTGTTCCCGAACCCTGCCCAAAATTAGAGCTGATCGACTTTGGTTTCCACTCCTTATTTGAACCAACTGCTGATGACATATAGGAATTAATACTTTGCATATATTAATCAAGCATCAACTATCTTCAGGTGAGAACATAAAGTAGTCCAAACATTTGTAAAGAGCAAACATTTTCATTTATGGTTATCAAGTCATCACTCATCACTAAGTAATATGAAACGAACGAAAAATCAAGTAAATTTGTGGTAAAGGTATCTTAAGCTTTAAAAGCTTTACTTTTCATTTCTCACAGTTACACTGTTATTTAAGAGGATACTTAAATTTCATATGGGTAATTCACCCATCCTTCTCGGTTATAATGATGATTTTCATTCAAACTTTGCAACAAACGTGCTACTGAATTCTATTTCGTTCAGAGGAAAAGGTTACTGATATTTATTTACCAAAATTAGTTATAGATTCCAATGATTATAAGGAGTAACATAGTGGGTCTAAACTCTGAACATCATTAATCAATCAAACAAAGGAGGGCGTTCAACTAAACTTTCCTGGTCTAAGTGAATTTAGATAAATCCCATCTCTAACAAATAACGCATATATCTTGATATCTAGGTTAGATCGAGACAACTTAAGCATCCATATACAGTCCAACAAAAAGCCAAAAATCAGTTTTTTTGGGTGTATCAGAAGGATTATAGCACAAAATCCACAATATTTCTCTGGATTTACCCAATTAAGCCATAAAACCAATAAAACACCATCTGAGTTTCATCAGCAATTACCAATATATAGAAAAGTTACAAAACAGCATTGATCAAGATAATATTCATTCAAAAATACCTTTCTGAGGGCTAATTACTTATGAGCAGCTACAATAATTAGATGAAGACTGACTCAAAGAGGAACTATAGGTTACAGTAGATGAAAATTGGGAAGACTCACTCAACAGATTTTTCATTACTCTAGAAGACTTGCTTAACGTCTTTCCTTGCATAAAAGTGCTACTAAGTTCATTAGCTGCCATAAGTAATAGAAAGAACTAATCAGATTGATCGATATGAGGAATATAAATCTCCAAAACTATTTTTTAAAATCCTAACCATAAGCTAATTTTCTTTCAGTAGGGACAACTACATATGGTTCTGCAGAAGCCCGACCACCTCCCACTTCATGTTTGATTGTGCCCAAAGTGTCAGGGGGCTGAGAATCACTAGATGGAACTAGTACAGGGTCTGAGGACGAGAAGCAGATTGTCAAGGAAGATGCTGGAGTAGTTGACATGGAGCAGCCACTAGAGCTTGCTGCAGGTGGCCCACTCATGTCCCTACTTTCAAAGGCAATGGTAGGTTTGTTTATTGCACCAGCAGGGGATGGTGTACTCCCGTCTGAGCTCACAACAGATGAATTTTCTGAAGGTTGATTAGCAGCATTTCTTGCCGATGTAGAAGAAGTTTCAGCCACTACAACAGTAGGACCATTGGCGATGACAGGTATAGGGCTATAAGACAAAATAATGAAAATGTAACAAACCACATTTAACTGAAGCCATATTTTAATCAATCGACAATAATAAGCATAAAAGGAAAATCATATAAGATAACAGATCTCCAAATTTTGGCCACCTGGCTACCAAAGTTGATTCTTTAGTTTTTGTCTCCAGTAAGGTTAATGAAGATTGACCACTTCCTTTCTCTACAACTAGATTTGTTCCATTATCTCTCCCAGGACCAAAACTCCTGGAAACACCAGTTTCTGATAGGATAAACAGGCAAAAATTGTATGAAGACAATTGTTGACAATAATTCAAAATTTATAAAATCAAGCACAAGGGTCACAAAAATTTTGTTTATCAACTCATTCTTTCAGAAGCCTAACACCATTTTGCAAGAATTGATCATGTTAAATAGATTTTTGTTCCAAGTTGGTGTTTACCTCGTTGTGCATTTTTTTTAGCTTTCTTACTTGTTTCCTGCATTAGAAACATTAAAACAGTCAAGAATGGTTTCTAAAACTAATATATATAATAAATACAAACACGAAAAGTTTAACTAATCTCCCACTTCTTTGAAAGTATTTGTGATACAAAAACCTTCCAGTCATCTTTCTTCAAATAAGGATACATATCTGGAGGGTTGAGCAGATTTTCATGTATCTCTCAAATGGATACATCCACCTAAAATGAACCGGCCCACATAACCTCACCTCTCTAACTAAATGCACTATCAAGTGAATCATGACATCGAAAAACGAAGGAGGAAAATACTTCTCTAACAAACACAAAGTTAATACGATGTCACTTTGCAACTTGCCTAGCTTATTAACGTCAACGACTTTACTACACATCACGTTGAAAAAATGACACAAACCTATGATTGTTTTCCTCACTTTCACATGTAACACCCCCTTTATTGTTTTCCTCCCACTTTCTAGTTGCATGTTGGCCAAAAAGATAACTGCTAAAGATTGTTTAAACCATAATAAACCCTACCATATGCTCTGATTAACTATCGAAAGACAAAAATGTCTTGGTTAGTTGGTTTATAAAGAAAATGTAACCTATATAGCTTTGCAACTGGCAGCATCGTCTTTGAGGAAAAAGAATAAATGATAGCAGATTGATTGTAACATACTTAAATCAGGCAAAGATTTGTAAGGTGTAAAATCATATTGGAAATAAGATTTTAAACTCTGCACTTAGTATTAACAAAATGACTCGGTCATCTTTACTAAGGGAACTGTTAAATAAATAACTGAAATGAAGGAAATCGTTGTTATCCTAGCATGTTTTCCATTACCCAAATTTTCCACTTCTAGAAAGAAAATATCACTACTCTGCATCTCTGAAGAAGGAAAGATATTGAGAGCGTAAAAGAGAGAATGAGGTGCAAAGAGGTTGCATAATCAGATCCTTACGAACTAAGAAATAACACATATGCCTGTTTCAACAACATAACCAACACAATCATGATTTTGTTATGCTTATCACAAGGTTATTATGGAAAAAACACAATTTTTTTAAAGAAAACCCCAGCCACATGGAGAAATGAGTCCAAAGTGTAATAGCATACAGATTAGAAGAAATCACTGGAGACTTATCCACATTGTTCAAGGACTGGATATAAGAATGTGAAGGTGAGTTCTAGTAAAACAAAATTAGCAAGTTAGCAACCACAACAATTTGTTTTCAAGAGAAAATGGTGAGCATACTGGTATCATCACATTAAAAAACCCCAAATATAAGATGATAATGTTCCATGTATAGAATAAACAAGTCCAGAGGGCTCAATGGTGTGTAAGACCGCGAAGAAAATTGAAAATTTGTCTAGACAATTATAGAGATTTTGAAAGGTTGAGACCAAGTATAACTTAGTCAAAGGTATTAGGTTAGAAGTCCATAGTTTTGCACCTACCTAAATGGAAGTCAAAAGTCAATTTAAGACCTTTGACAAAATAGATTATGTCCCTTTTAACCCTTTTTATTTCAGCATCAGTCTAATTAACACGACCTCGTCAAGTTTTGCTTGTGAAGAAAAAAAGTACTTACATGGTGAAAGGGAAAGATAAAGGAAAAACGTAGAGTTTTTTGTTCCGCTTTATAATACACTGGTTTGGAAACTCCAGTGGACCAGGCTGCATAGCAAAAGAGAATAAAACCATCAACTCCAAAACTTATTGACTTATTCATCGATTTATAACTCTAAATCCAAGAAGCTTTTTATATTCGTAACCAGCAACTGCAAAACAACTTAAATTATGTAAAGATCCAAACTAGTAACAATAAGCGAATACACTTAAAGAGGACAAAAGAAAGAAATTTTACGTTATTTATTCTTAATTTGGAGTATTTGAAAATGACATTTTGATTCGAACTTTGCACTCTATACCTAGTATATTTCCCCTATAATACAAAGAAGAAGCACAAACTAATTCCCTAAATTAGATACCAGGAACAAATGGCATCAATCAATAAGATCTATCAGTAAAGAACATTACAATAAACTAGAACAAATGAAACCCAAAAAAGACTAACTTTACACCAATTCCCCACAAATCGTCCCAACTCGAAAACATTCCAAATCCTAAAAAAATAAAATTAAACTACCCTAAACTGCAAACATTTACAACCTTAATGAAATTTATACATGCTACCTTAAAACATTTGTACCAGATAATGAAATTATATCTCAATTTCAATTAAAAACAAACAAAAAATTTGAATTACCTGCTTAAGACAGGAAGGGAAAATGCAAAGAGAAATCAAACATATATGAAGTAAAAACATCAAACCCATTAAATCAAACAAAATAGAAATCAACAAAGAGAAAAAGGGAAAAAGAGAAAAAGGGGGAAGCATGCGGCCTAAATTGTTTATCAAGGGGGAAGAAACGGGAAATAATGAAAATAATGGGGGAAATTAAAAGATGATTTTTATAGATGACACACAAATAAAAGTGTACTCTAAATATGACACACATTATTGTAAGTCATAAATAGTTCAGATTTTAAAAAACATGACATTTTTTTATGACACACATTTTTTGCAAGTTATAAATTAGCGTGTGTCATTAAAGGTATATTTTCTTGTAGTGTTTGCACAATTCATAACAAATAGAACACTTGAAAGAATAAACAAAGAAGTACAAAAGTGTACTTAAAAGCAAAAGAATATTTGTAAATATTGACTTGATTTTTTTTACTCTTTGTGATTGCTTTGACTTTCTATTTGATCTATTGTCTTTACATATGACTTGGAATATTATTTTTATACCCTTCACTTTATTCTAACTGTATGGGTATTTTTGTGAGGGTTAATAGAGTCGTTGGAAAGAAATTTCCCGTAAAAAATCTATCCATTGGGGAACGGGAGTATCAGTACTCACCAATGGAGTATCGATGCTAAAATGGTATACTGGAATTTGCATTTGACAAAAACATAACGAGAGTATCGATTCTTCTATAAGCAGTATCAGTACTGCTACGAGAAGTATTGGTACTGCTTCACATTTTTAGGTTATTTGTATCGATACATGTATCGGTACAACATGATCAATATCGATATTGTTCATGCAGTATCGACACTGCAAGGTTAAAAATTGATTTTTGACTCAATTAAAATCCGAAACCCTTTGTAAAAATGTTTCAAAATTATTTCTAGTATATGACTTGAATTTTCAATAGAGTAAGGAATATTTCTTCTTAAAATTTAAGTCTAGTGGTATTTCACCAAAACTTCCAATGCTACGTTCTCATACTGCAACAAAAAAATGTGAATAGTTTTGTCGCTATGAATGCTTCCTTCCAGGTAATTGGTTGCAAAGACATTGTATCATCTTCACTTTCATCCTCATTAAAATTTTCAATAAAACTAGCTACAATTTCTTCTAAATTTTGGACTTCTATCATTTTTACCTGGGTTCATTGAATCAAAAAATATATCTTTAAATTAATAATTATTAATTTATTGATTAATTAATACTTCTTTAAATTAATAAAATTATGTGATATCAATATTATTAAATTATCGAAGTTTTATTGTATTTAATACTATGAAAATTTTGGTCATTTCTCAAAACTTAGAGTTCCATGATCTATTAAATTAAACTTAGGGGTATATTAAACATATTAACACTTAGAATTTCAAAATAGACTTAAAAGATCGTTACATATGAGTTGTATAACCTAATATAGGTTCAAAAGAATCTTTTTGGACCGTAAAAGACTCAAAATTATAGAAAAGTACAATCATAACTCTAGATTGTGACATATTATGATTATGAATTAGTCATAGAAATTGATATGTTAAAGCTATAATAGAAATCGAAACAAAGTATACTTTTTAATATATCAACCGAGATAGTGTTAGAAAATTTATTTTGGGATATCAAACTTAAAAATTATAAGATATTTTTAAGTGGGAAAATTGAATTTTAATTTTTTATTTTAACTTTTTTTAAATGGTGAGTCAATTTATAGCGGCATTTTTAGAACAAACACCACAAAATAACAAATTTCGCGGCGTTTTGATAGAACGTCACTAATGTTTTGCATATTGCGGCGTTTTAAGCAAAAACGTCGCTAAATACCTGTACTTTATATATAAACGCCACTAAAGACTCGTACTTTAGTGTCGTTTTTGTACAAACGCCGCTATAAACTCATACTTTAGTGCGTTTTTAGACAAAGGCCGCTAAAGACTCGTACTTTAGTGGCGTTTTTAGACAAACGCCGCTAAAGACTCATACTTTAGTAGCGTTTTTCTATAAACGCCGTAATATGACTCATATAATGGCATTTTTGAAAAAACACTGTAAGAGATTCATACTGTAATGGTGTTTTTTAAATAAACGCCGTAATTTATCAATACATTAGTGGCCGCAAGTTTACGGTTTCTAAGTCTCATGCCCCTTTAACCCTTTTTCATTTTTCCCTTCACCTATTTTTCATTCCCGCCATTTACCTAAACCCATCTACCGTTTCTTTGCCGATCTCACTTTCTCTTCGTTGGTCTCAGTTTCTAGGATGACGGTTTTAGAAAATAAAGTTTACTTCAAATTTTAAATACTAATGCAGATTTGGCTAGGAATGACTCTTCAAAAGCTGGATTCGCTCTTGTTAGGAGTTAGTCAAAAGTTTAAAGAAGAAAGCTATTTAATTGTCAGTTATTTATTGTCTGCCCCTTATTCTCGATACCTGGTATATGTATGAAGTCATTGATTTCAACTTTCTAGATGATTTATGCATTGCTTTTTCCATAGATGATAACCTCATAACGTATTATTGGCAAATTATTTTATGTTTCAAGTGTATACAAACAAGTTATGGCTTCCTTCTCACCAATTCATTTGTGGTCAATTTGTTTTATCAAATGGATGATGTATCATTGTTTGCACCTTTCATTAAATTACTACATTTTTGTCGTCTACATAGAACACTAGGGAGGTAGACCAAGATATCAGTTGGATTTATGTTTTCGACTAGTTCAGTGCTTCCTTGTTTTCTGTTTCTAACAACTTAGTTTGCAGACTACTACAATTTCTTTGATATGTTTATTGTATGTTAAAAACCGCTTTGCTCTAGGTTTTTTTTTATGGAATTCAGGTATGTTTTTGGCCATTCTATTAAGGTTATTTTGTTTGGCTCGAGAATTGCATCATAATCATCGTCATCATCATTATTATTTTGTAATGACTGTTGATATTTTAATTGTTTTGCTCTAACTTCCATGAAACTTTGAATAAAAATGGAACATGGATCATTTTTTGGCAGGCAAGTATCAATATTTACGTTTATGTTATCTTCTTGCTTAGTGTAGCATATTAAAATTGTTATTATTATTTGTGTGTATAATTCTAGTACCTTCTGCCTATAAATTGTTACTATTATTTCTGTTGAAATGGAGTTGTAGCTTATTTTTTGTTTTATTTCCAGGAACTTAAAATGATTTTGGAGAGGGAAACCTGGCTTAGTTTGCCACCAGAGACGGCCCAAATAATTAGTTTTGCTGGGCTGGTTGGTGATGGAGCACCCTTAATGGCTGCATCTGGTGGAAGGTCTTCTAATTCTAGTGTCCTTCACATCGACAAATCAGCCAACAAAGTCGACACAGATATCAAGAAGAGTAGGTTTTCTCATTGTCTTAGAAATGGAAACCCATTTTTGCTAAAACTAAGCTGCAGTTACAAAGTAACTCACAATTCGTCCCCACTTAATGGAGCATCCTATGTGGTATTCGAGGGAAATGCTGATAATATTCATGGTGATGTCTCTCCACAATATGATGATGAGAATCATATCAATGGCTCCAATCCCATCTCAGAAGAGGAAAATGAGGATTTACTTGCTGACTTTATTGATGGGGATAGTCATCTCCCTAGTCGAATTTCAAAGCCCATCCTTTCAAGAGGTTTCTCTTTTCATGGCATTGACGATTTTTACAGCACAAACTAGATCATCTCTTTGTGTTCTAAGGTTAGATGGTTGCAATTAAAAAAAATAATATGGATTTCTCAATGTTGTTTATTTTCTTACAAGTGAATATTGAGTTGTTTTCTAACTTTGACACATTATGTCGATGGATAAGTATGCAAGATTGATGCAGAAACTTGAAATAATAAATATCGAGTTTTTTACGTTGTGTACTGGTTAAACCTCTCTTTTCCTAAGCTCTACGTTCTCAGATGCGCATACAATCTGAATACTATTTTTCTTTTTCCCTCTACATTATTTTTCCTGATTCAGTACATTGTTACAGGGCATATGCCAATTATTTGAGTTGTTTTTCCATTATATATTTGAAACATTTGGTCCGCAAACATGAATTCAAGTGCAAAGACTTCAAGTTAATTTTCATTCATCACATGATGTCAATTTATATATCAATTGATATGTCTTTAACTTATGTACTCGCTTCTTATTTCTGCATTTTCCTAATTTTTCTTATTCCTAGATCGGTTAAAGAATGTCTTATCGAGAATAACACAAGATTGTGAAGAGTGGATAAAAACTATACTAAGCTTGAAAATGTTGGTGCTGAAGATTACTTTTGTAGGTTCGAATATAAGGCTGCCACTGGAGGCTTCACTCCGGACCGGGTGGCAGCGTGAGTTTAGATTTTTCTCGTGTTTTTGGGTTGAGATTTTTCCCAGTGCCTTGTACTATGTTTTTAGAGATTATTTATTAATTTTCAGGATTTCGGTTTTGAAGGCATTGCAAGTGTGAGATGCCATATAACTCGGATGACCTCATGGTGCAAAGCGAGGGATGCAAGGATTGGTAAAGTCACTACTCATTTACTTAATAATGTTTGTATAAATAATATCTTAACATTCCGAAGTTATTTTCCAATAATGATTTATATGTGTCCTATTTTATTTGGTATAATATCTTTGAAAATTTACTTCCTATAAAGTTGTAGTTTTGTTGTGACTGAAAGCAATTAAATGTAAGGCATTCTAGTGAGCTGTAATGGTAGACTCATTAAGACACAGATAAGTATGAGCTAGATCACCTTCAGTTCCTTGAAAACTTTTATATTACCATTCAGAATCTTTAAGTTGTCTGTTTATGCCGCCTGATATTACTTAACTGCTCTATTTTATTCGGATATGGTTCATTTCCATATTAACATTCTACTATTAATGTGTAATATCTTCCTTTGATCTTCATATCACCTAATTCACCATGGAAATGGTAACGATTTTATGATTTACAATTTGATGAAAGTTCATATCTAATGAATCAACTAAGATTTTAGTTGATTGACATTTTATGGAAAAATAGTTGCTGCAATTGAGGATTTAGCTTCTGGTAATGTCAGCCAGTAGTGGAGTGTAGAGAATTTTACGTAAATCACTGTAGTGTTGTTGTCTCATATCTCCTTAAAAATTTGGAGTTCACTACGTTATTGAAAATACCTTGAGTGAACAAATCTCAGAATTTTTAGCGCACACTGCAAAATAATGTTACTTTTGACAGTTTAACTCTAAAGTAGTTGTAGATTAACCTTTCAGGTTATTTAATCTAAAACTACAATGAAAAGTGTAACAAAGTTGTCTTTCTTCTTGGTCTGACAAATAAAGGAGACAAATTTCTTTAGAGCCTTTTGGAGGTTTCTAATGCTCCTCTTCACTAAGAACTTGATGAGTTTGAAATTCATAATGTTACCAAATGTAACATATTGTTTGGTGTGCCTTTAGGGGTGTTATCTATTCAACTTTTGAAACTTATATTGACTAGCTTTAATTTTATATTAGTTTTGACCAATATAACTCGTCATCAAGTTGTATTTCTAGTTACTTTTGGGCACATATGGGTTGGAACTACTACTGGCTGGTTGATAAGTAGATTTTAGTTTACTCAATCTGATTATCAATGATTCAATGTTGACTTCAAGGGACTTTGCATGAGTTATTTGCGATTATTTTTCGCTAGAAATTAAAACATATTTGATCTGAAGAGACATGTTTTCAAGTTCTGTTAGAATGTTAGTATTTTCTCAGTTCTTTGCCACTGATTCCATTGTACTGTGTGTGTATATAAATTCCTGATTGTACATGAAACATATATTCCTGACCAAACATAATTATGTTTGTAGGTTTCATCCTTCTTGCATGGATATGACCATTGAAAAAGCAAAAAGATTGGATCAATTTTTATGTTTCGATTGTATTTCGGAATGTGAAGACTTTCAAAATCAACTTCAAGCTATATGCAGATGTACTACAAAATTAACCCCATAGTCCACCATCTTAGACGTTATTATTGTTTATTCTAGTTAATAATGTTGAACTACGTTATATTTTATGTTAATGTAAACTTTGATTTATTATTGGGATTTCAAGTTTTTTATTATGGATTTCAAGTTTGTATTATGGATGTGAAGTTTATTGGATAATGCTATAGGTTAAAATTTCAAATTTGGGTAACAAAAGAGTAGAAAACAACATTTGAAAATTTAGTCAATATGTTAAATGTCACTATATATGTGGTCAATAGCGACATTTTACATTCACAAACGGCACTATATGGCATAACATTTAGCAACATTTTTGGGAATAAACGCCATTATATGTCAGAACATTTAGCGGTGTTTTTGGGACAAAACGTCACAAAAGGAAAGATAAATAGCAACATTTGAAAAAAAAAACGCCGTTAAATATCATAACCTTTACGGCGTTTTTTGCAGCATTTGTTTTTCTGTCACAAAGGTTTTTAGCGGCATTTTTATATGATTGAAAAAACGATGCTAAAAACCTGTTTTGTTGTAGTGTTTGTAAAAAGAGTGTATTTTTTTTGTATTACAGATATAATTTACATGGTCAATTTTTTTTAAAAAAATACCTCAATACATACTGGCTCCGCTAGTATATATTAAGAAATGACAAATGGACAATTGTTGTATGAAGATATCATAACAAGAGTATTAGTTATCTTAGTACTTTTACGGATATAGGTAGCGTATCATATGATCGTTTTAGCACTTGCGATATGGGTTAAATGTGTTTAGGGTGTCTTTAGATGATGTGATACATGTTCGAATGTGTATTATGTTTCATCACTGCCGTCAGACGTTATGTGATTATAAACTTATTTGGTGTTATCTTTAGGGATATTGTAAATCCGTTCATTTGTCTAAATCTAGGTAATTGATACGATAATGTAATATAAATTATGATTTCAAGAATAATTATGCATGAAATGTGCAAATTAAGTGTTGTGATCATCTTTATGTTTGCACTTTCTATTGCTGTAGTTGATTTAAGCTTATTTATATTTGCTTGTTTGATTACCTCACTTTGATTGTTTCTATGGAATTGTAAGATAGAGTTACTTCAAGTTTTTATACCGTACTTTGGGCAATTCACAAGTGACAAATCAATATTTCATATCTATATGTAAACTCTTTTATTTTGCAAAATCCTAATTAGTGGTGGCATGTATAAGTGATAGATGTTTTTGTTAAGTTTTGGTATGTTATATATAAGTGTGTATACAATGACAGACGCAAAATTTAATGTTAGGGGGACGAACTTGAACTTTTAAAATTCTAGGGGGCGAACTTAAACTTATAAAATTCTAGGGACAAAAATAGATTTTCAATAGAAAAAACTTAAAATATATAGTAATTTTAAAATTTCAGGGGGCGACTACCCCTAACCCCTTCAGTCCATCCTTGTATATATATAATTTGATTTAATCTATGTAAGTGTGTGTATAAGTATGTAAATGTCAACGTTAGTTTGTATTGAAGTTATGTATGGTATGCACAAACCAACTTACCTAAGTGGTTAAAGGAACCGTTGTTGTTTTTAGAGATTACAAGTTCGAGCACCAACGGCAGCAATTGTAACGGGGAGAGTAACCCTTCATTGTCAAACGGTATGATAGTATGAGCTCATTATTAGTTCCAAGTGGTTTTATAATGAACTAGTTATGATGTTTCTATCATGATACATGCTTGTTGTTGAGTATTTTTTTATTAAATTGTTGAGTATTTAAATTGATGATATATATTTTGTCATGATTATATAAGTTGGAAGTATTTAGAAATGAGTTTGAAGCACGTTTAGGTTAGTTTCTATCATTTTGGTGCAAATTATATTGATATTGCCCAACAAGTATCAATATTGGTTTCTAGAAAAAGTTCATTACACTAGTGTGTGTGTATGTATATATACACCATCACTCAACACAAATGTTAAATGCAATATCACATAAAATTGAATTGATTTGTTCGTTTTTTTTATTAATTACGTTGGACCAAACTTTTTTTATTTTCCTTGTGATATATAATTAGATTTATCACAACAATTAAAAAATAAAATCATTAATTAAGTGATAAAAAAACGTTTTGTTACTATTGTGCTAACCTTCTAGATTATAATTCAGAATTCAAAAACTTAAAACAACTCGAAAGGAAAATATTTTTCTATTCCTCTAATTTTTTTGATGATAGATAAAGGTAAAAGTATATTTCGCGACCGAAAATCTATTTTAATAAAATTGTTTTCAAAACATGCCTTCAACTGTTTTCAATCGATTAATTTATCATATAGAATATTTCTTTTTAGATCATTTTATTATTATTTTTAAGAAGTTGAATTTTTTGTTTGTTTGTTTGATTCTCATCTTGGATTGTTATTATTGTAACAGGAACGTGTTATCAAAATTTTCAGTTAGGATTAGCTAGAAATCTAATAAACAAGTGTACATACATCGTTGTGGTCTTCTCAGTCGATCGGTTTGAATTTTCATCGACCACCTGTTACCGGAACACGAAACTGCAGCTTGGATTGACCATTAACTGTGTTTACCAATTTCCATCTTCTTCTTGATTGCCTTTTGGCCGTGGTATATGGAAGAGTAATATTCCTGCAGCTGTGAAAACACCTGAATAGAAAAAAATGGGAACAAATAATCAACAAGTCCAATCCGATCAAGTCATTGTGAAGGGGCCTATCTGTGAATTTAAGGCTTCCGTTTATCCGTTAACACAGCCATATTCTTGGAATCAAAGCTTTCTCGAATTGAACTTGAGAATAAATTGATAGAATTTAATAGAAGATGAAAAACATGGGAAGATGATACTCTGTTTTGAACCCCGAAAAAGAAAGTCTTCAGGTATGGTTTGTTAGCTCAGTTAAAGAGATATGGTTAATAAATAAAATCCCCAACATAAAGATAAAGATGGACGAAGTTGATCGAATAGTGAACGAGTATATTAATTCGTAACGGATGAATAAGAGAAGGCTTCTTACCTCCGACTATAGCACAAACATTTGGTAGAAAATGCAAGAATGAGATATGCTGCTCTGCGAAAGTCACCTGCAAAAAAGTTGAAAATAAACTCTCTAAGAGATCAACTTTATTCTGGTGCTCGACCCCTTGGACTCCCTTGTTTATTTAATAATAAATAACTAGAGCTAACATTGAAAGTGATGTGGCATCTCTAAGGCATCAAATGTTCATTTCAGGCAAAGAGATCGCATAAAAGAAGAAAACTGCAGGGAGGGATTGAAGCTGGCCTATGTTACAGAAAACTGTCGAAAGCGATCTCCCGAAAGTTGGTCGTTTTGATTAAATGAGCGACCATAAAATTGATTTTCTGCAAGTTTTTTAACCACACCTGATTAGACTGGATAGTGTGTCCACTCACATGTGTACACGGTCGGTACAACCTACGAGACAGAAAGTATATTGAAAATTCCTCAAAGTGACCCTTTTATTATTTAAAGCTCATTTAGGAATATGATAAGCTACGTGCATGAGATATAAAAGAAGGAAGAATCCATGACCCTGACAATATTAATGTAAGCCATCAATCTACCGAGGAGGTAGCAGAGTTTGTAAGAATACATGCTAATCATTCTTCTTCTATGTGTCATTCTCTATTGTTTTCGTAGAGTGATGGAGAAGATGGAACACATGGTATTTTGGTTTATATTAGCCCTAAATGTTCAACCGTAGTAAACCACATTCAGTAGGGTCTCATTTTTATCTTCATTGATCTGTTTGCTAGTGCCATTAGCATTTGAAAATGGAAATGTTTCGTCAATACACAAAACAACATGCATTAAATTTAAATCGATTAAGCTAATCAGACTTTTAATTCTCCAATCAATTTATACAGCTCAATGAATGGCAAGCATATACTAATTTTATCAAAATTGTTGGGTTTTCCTTTCTTGTTCTTTTTTCTGTTTATATTGAATATCAAACCTTGATGCGATATAACAATTACATGTAGAACAAGGTTTGGAAGTGTCACCGCATACAGTAATGGCTAATGGAATGACGAGGGTACCAAAAAGCAAATAGTCTAGACCCTAGAGTAATGGCTTGGATTACTAGATTTATGTGACAACTCTGATAAGGATTGGAGAATAAAATAGTAAATAACTAAATATGAATTCACACAGAAAACCAACCTTTATCGTACTGGTACATCCCACTTGGTTGTTTTTGTGTCCATTGAGCACTGAATTAGAACAAGAAAAAAAAATATAAAATATGCAAACAACGAGCTCTTGTACATGGCCAAGGTAAAATGCTCAAGCAAAAGTTAGCAAGCACCTATCAAGAGGATTCACGACCCCAGGGCAGTAATCTCCGAAAGCTAATCTATTGATCTTGTGACTGAGCTGTATCAAATATTCAAGAAGCATGGTAAACATTAGATAATCATTTTCAGATAAGACATGCTAACATACACAGAGAATGGAAACAAAAGGGCTGCCTTCGTCTTACATTAAAACTGTCCTTTTGAAATGCTAGAAAATAAAGCAGATGAGCATTTGATTGCGGAAAGCTTTTCCCAGGTGCAAAATGAAATTTCCCTGCCACCCTATTAACTTCTAAAGAGACATATATATTACACCCCTCACCTTCTTTATCCTTAACCTTCTGAAGAAAACCCTCTCTCTTGCACTGAACAACAGAAGCAAGAAAGCATAAACGAGGGTCACATTAAGTCATGTAGGTTAACTGGGTTAAAAACAAAATCAATATTTAAGGGGGAACAGACAGTCTTTTGATAGTTAAGGCAAACTTGTATATCTTTTTTCTGGCATCAACTGTTAATGACTAGAAGTTACAAGTATTTATGCTACAAAACTGAATTGGAAAGTAACACTGCACTCCTGAGGACAGAACCCAAGTTTGAACCTTGGAGACAACATTGTTGGGAGGGGTAGCCGCAAACCTAGAATTTGGACCATAAAACGGACATGAAAGATTACAAAGAAGAAACTATATTGGTCATTTTCCTGGAATAAGATAAATATTTAAGATTATTGAAAATAAGAGATATCAAGTTTTTTAATGTACCAAAACGTGGGCATGCAAGTTCCATGTCGATTACTTAATTATTAGACAATATCTATTCCCCTTGCCACCTTGACAGCTGGCATCCAAATAGAGCCTCTTGGGGAGTTGGATATAGAAATGGCCAATATTAAATAGGCATTATTAGGAACGGAGAAAGAGATTCAATATATCAAAGTAGCTATCAAATGAAAAACAATGAAGTCCAAGCATGACTATCAATATCAATGAAGCAAAAGGAAAAAAACATTTCCTATCCGTGCACATTCGTCTGTGTGTCCTTCAAATTAAAGTTACTTCAAAAATCTGATAGTTAGTTTAAGCTATTATGCAGACAGACCTGGTCGATCAAATCAGGGTTTGACAAAGACCAACTTTTCTTTCTGTATCTTTCACGAACATCCTCACAGGAGTTGCAACAATCATCAGCTGCCTGCAACATCAAAAGAACAGACAATGCTCAGGGAGGAAAAGAACATCATGCCTGGAGCAGAAAGATAATAATTCTTGTAACCAGACTGTTTCCGATGATTATTCACTACCTATGCACTGACCACTTCACCTGCCTCATCAACTCCAGAATAAAATACAACCAAAACAAAAAAAATTAGGGAATGGCCAAATGACAAAAGAAAAAAAGGTGAACGAATGTTACTAAATCAAATTAATATTATTTCAGCCATATGATGACAACACAAAATTACAATCATCTTGAGATCAAGAAAATAAGGTATTGAGAACTCAAAAACAAGTCAAAGACGCTTCGTATTCAGGAAAAACATGCACCCAGTAATTAACTTATATCACAGGGAACTATAGATGAAGCATACCACTTCTGCACCATAGCATTAACCACAATACGTCTCATTGTGCTCGAGCCTACCATTATGCTTCTGTAAAGATTTTTCAAACTGTGTGAAGAAGAAGAATTATGAGCAGAAAGTTAAGCAAAAAAAAAACGGAGATGAATGTGTGGTTCATCAGATCCTTTACATAAAGAAAAAAAAATGCATCTGGGAAATCAACTTCAAAAATATTGCCATATAGCAAACCTTGGTGGCACCAATTCCATCTGGTCTTGATTCTATAACATTACCATGTTCATCTAACCGATTCTTGATTATATCATGTTTCTGCATGCTTATAAGAATAAATGTTTAGCGACAACTAGACAATTTTAGCAGCATTCATCGAAAAAGTAAGTTCTGTGAGCATGAACATAAACTCATGCCCATATTGCATATGAAAATTCCTCTATGCGCGCATGAAGAGAGAGAGAGAGTAAATTAGAACATCCATTTACGACACTTGATGTAGGAGAGAAATTCAACAAGATAGAATGAAAAAGCATAACTACTTACAATATATACCACATCAAGGTGTTGCCCTCCACTTATATCCATTGCATCAACGCTGAGGATTGAGCATGCAAGAGCAGGAAAAGTGATATCAAGCTGCATTTTCAAATCCAAAACGAACATTAAAAAACTAGATAGAATAATTACTAAGGATTCACAGCAGTGCTATACCCAACGGAAGAGACACTAGGAAATGTGTAATATAATGGGTGGTTACATTCATTCTCATAATGCAGAATATGTTGATTCAGAACATACAAAAACAGTTTACAATTTTTTTTTTAAAAAAAGTTACAATAAAACATGAAAAAATACCATGGAAGAATCTTCAGGAAATCTTGCAAAAGAATAATTTTAAAAAAAATTATGTGAAATTCAAGGCCATAAGGAAAAATCTGAAAGGGAAAATCTTAAAATAAAGTTGAATTAGCATATGAAAATACCTTGATGTGTAGAGTTTCCCCTCTTGAAGTGTCAACCACAAGCTTTGTTTCAGTGAAAGCATGAAGATAGAGTTCCGCAACCAAGACCAGGAAAACGAAAACATGTTCATGGAAACAGATCATCTAACTTGGATTCTTAATAAGACAAAAAGATACCTCACTGTAAACCCCCCCAACCCAACACAAAAAATAAAATAAAATAAAATAAATCCATACCCCATGTTAAAAATGCTAGGAGTTAATAGAATTGAAGAAAACAGATAAAGCAGACACAAAAGAAACCAGGTTTAATTTGAAAGTATTCAAGAATCAAGATAAAACATATAACCAAGAATACCATCCATCTATAAAGATCTCAATAACCATATTCAAATTTCAATGGAACCTGACACCAGCTCAAGCGTCATGGTTGAGGAATGAATGTGCAAGTGATTATAGGCAAATTCAAAGTTCCTTGAATGAAGGCCAGACCACATTCAAAGTTCCTTGAATGAAGGCAAATTCAAGTGATTATAGGCAAATTCAAAGATCCCAACTTTTTTATCATTAACATGCCTGTATTGTTTTACTTGAAATGTCTGAAAATACAGATTACTAGCTCTAGAAAAGAGCAGGCAAAGTGTCTTGCACTAAAATCACAGGAAGTGGATGGTAGGCAAAACATGATCAATTGTAAATGACTTCAATGTGTTACCAGTAGTTCCATCTGCAAAATAAAGGCCATCTCTACCAACTCTTCAACCAAATTGCTACGTCAATAATGTGCTGAATTTGAACTATAACCCTCTCCTTATTCATATACAACCCCTCAAGAATTGTGCACCATAGAAGTTTAACCATAACCCTCTCCTTATTCATTTTAGATCAAACCAACTCCCAAAGTCATCAAAAGCTGCCCTCTTAGTAAACTGATTAACAATTTCCTTACTAATCCATCAATAAAACTTAGTCACCGTCTCGATTGAAATCACAATTCAATCCTTAAAACGACTAACAATTCTCCAGGGTAAGAAAACAAATTTCAAATATACAAGGACAAATCCAAATATTGAGTGGAGAAGAGAAAATTGCGGAGCTCGGAAAAGAAGAGCAATAACATAACAACGGAGGAGACGAGGGTGATAATGCCACCGGAAAGTGTACGGTTGTAGAAATCCCCGCTGATCTTAGGATAGGCGTCTAATTTCTTCAACTTATTCATTATTCCAGCCATTTATTCTATATGTTTTAAAATTCTTCTATCTAGTTTGAATTGATATATGAAATGATCCCCTTTGTCCTTCCCCTAAAATCGAAAAATAATAATAATAATCTAGATACAAATTAAAAGAATCTAATCCGACGGAACAAATTGCTTAAATACCTCGTTATGCTTCAGATGAGAAACGAGGAGTTTAAGATTTCGAGGGAGGAGCTAAGCCTATTGAGAAGGAAGGCGAGGCTTAATTCTTTTCCTTCCCCCGCCATTTTCGGTTTTAAGGTTGGTCATCGAGCAGTTCGCGCCTTAACCCTTTTTGTATCTCTACGAATGCAACAAATAAACCATTAAATTTTGGGAAATGTGATGGTATTCTTAATTTATTTGTGGAATTTTTTTATTTTATTGATAATCTTAAGTTCCAAAACTAAGAATATTAGGGGGTGTGATTGTATATATTAAATGATTGAGAGTTATCTTTGAAAAGATAATGTGTTGGACTTATCGTAAATTAATCTAAAAAATATTATTTTTCTAATATACTTAGCTGTTAAAAAACATTTTTATATATAAAATAATTAATTTTAATTTATTTGAAAACTAATATATCTATATCTAAAAATATTTACAATATATAATTTATATTAACAAAATATAAATATAGTTGAATTAAATAAATATTCATTACATAACAAAAATATAAAAGTTATTGTATTACATACAACTTAAATTCAATTAAGCGTCACTCAATAAATTTTGAATCTTAAAATTAATTATCATCAGTAATCATATAGGTCATTCAAACACATATTCAACAGCAAATACATATAACAAAGTATTTGAATTGGATTTTATTAAAATTAATCAATATTCAAATAAAATGAGTTCGATTTGAGTTTCAATTTAACTTGAATTCTTAACGAATCGAAATAAACTATTTGATATTCGATTAGAAAAACTCACAAAAAATTTAAAAAATATATATTAATTTTTTATTTTAGAATTAAATTATTAATAATATTAATATTTATATGTTAATTTATTTTAGAAAAATACAATATAAAGTTTTTATGTATTTAAGGTTCATGTTCGAGTTAAATCTGAAAATGTTTAAAGTTCAAATTTTTTTGAGCTTGAATCAATCTTAAATTTTTTATTTCTAATTTTGTTTGAACTTGATAATTTTAAACTTATAAGTTTTTAAGTCGAGTCAAAGTTAAAAATAATTTTTTTCAATTGAATCGAATCTAAGTAGTCCCACATGGACCATGTTTACAGCTTAATTATATTTTATAAAGAACTGGTTCACAAATTGTGTACCACCGAGTTAAGTAGCGTTAGCTTATAACTCAAGTAGGGGCAGTAGGTTGACTGAACGAGTGTTTGATACCCTGGGTAGGTTTTACGATTGCATCATGATGGCTTGCCTGTTACATTGATATGAGTTGTGGGACTAGGGCATTGTGGTCCAGATCCCCTAGTGTTTTTTTTAACCGGACAGTCTTTTATTTAAACTTCTATTTAATAGATTTTAGGGGCAAAATTGTTTGAGTAAAGGGTTGGAATTTTTTACTTCTGGGTGTAGTTAAATTATTTCTATAACTAGGGTACTTGGTATGGTGTTTCGTGGAAGTCGTCTTGTGATCCAGATGAATTTTGAAGTTATTCCTTTTAACGTACTTGTACCTTATATGGTCAATTTGTTTTTTTTAACACGTTATTGAAATAATTTTTTTTTCAAAATTTTAAGTGTTTTTATCCAATTAACTCTCTCTATGAAGTTATTTTACTCGATTAAGTTTTGTTAATTATTTTAAACTGTTTTTTTTTTGTAAATCATATTTGATAAATTCAAGTATCCACCAATCCTTCCTCATAACTAACCAATATATGCCTATGAGTTGATTCACGAAAATTTAATTGAAGAATGTAAAGCTAAGAATATGCCGAAACACTCGATGTGTGAAAAATAGGAAAAGGTATTAAGTTGGTAATTGAACTTGATCTTGAGTACTTGGTAGATTCCTTACTTGGATTCATTTGACCTGAGAATTTAGCTTTAGATACGTAGTTAACACTTAAATCCAGTTAATTCATAAATCATATTAAATATGGTTTTAATAGGCTCAAAGACGACTATAACTTGTAAATGAACTATGACATGGGTCTAATTCAACCATCGAATGTGTCAACAAAATCTCATTCATGTTTACCAAGAAATATAATAACTGAACTGATCGCACTGGTCCTCTTGCTTGATTCGCTTTCCCCCACCAAGCACCTGTTGACGGAACATGAAATAGCAGAATGTTGTGCATCTTCAACTTAATTTACCAATTTCCATCTTCTTCTTGATTGCTTTTTGACCATGGTATACAAAAGAGTCCAATATTCCCGAAACCGTAAAAACACCTGGAAAAAAAAAGTAAAGCAATTAATCAAACACCAATCCAAACAAGGGTATATCTGTGAATTAAAAGCTGCTGTAAATTCGTTGACAAAACCATAGTCTTGGTATTGAAACTGTTCTTGAATTAAAATGGGAATAAATTGCTAGATTTTAATGAAGGTGATTAAAACTTGAAAATATATCATCTATTTTGACCCCTACCAAAGAAAATAGTTTTTTCACTCTGTTACAGAGAGATTGATCCAGGAACTACCGAATCTATTCATGTGTCCCTATACAACATAAAAACGAACCTTTATTTTTCATTCCCTTATTTAAAGAAAATAACAAAAAAAAAAGTTCAAGGGAAGAGGATTTTAAACTTGTGAAGTGAATTTTAGATTTTAGAAGTCGGATCTGTAAGATCTTGGGTTCCCTCGTACAAAGGTGATCAAATACGAACAAGTTCATTATGGGGGAAACGTGCTAGTATTAATTTGTATTAAAAAAAAAGAAGCAGAAAAGGATCATTACCTCCAACTATAGCACAAACATTTGTTAGAAAGTGTAAGAATGAGACATGCTGCTCAGTGAAAGTCACCTGAAATGAAATTGAAAATAAGCTCAGAGAAATAGCAGGAGTCAAATGAAACGACTGGAAAAAATTTCCAGACTTGGGTTAACATCTATAACTAATCTTTAAGAGAACTTAGATCCGATGCAGGACCCCTAGGCTCCCTTATAAATGGAACCTTGAAAGTGGTTTAGCATCTCTGAGATGTCAATTAGTTATTCCAAACAAAGAGATTGCGTAAAAACAAAAGCAGAGGAGAAACCAACCTTGATAGGAGAAAGATCATAAAAGAAGAAAACTCCAGGGAGGGATTGAAGTCGGCCTATTTCTCCACCCTTAAAATGCTCTGTTACAGAAAACTGTTGAAAGCAATCTCTCACGCATTAATCATTTTGACTAAATGAAAGATGAGATAGAATTGATTCTTGCAAGTTTTATAACCACACCTGATTTGACTGGATAGTGTGTCCACTCACATCTGTGTACACCGTAGGTACAACCTACAAGATATAAAGTATATTGAAAATCCCTCAAACTAAGAGAGCCTTTCCTCATTTAGGAACATGATAAGCTACATGCATCAGAGACAAGGAAGAATATGTTTCCCTGAAAATATGATAATGTGCCATCAGTCTACCTAGGATGCTAAAAAGTTAGTAAGAATACATGCTAATCTGTCTTCTTGAACGAGTCATTCTCTTTTGCTTTCACAGAGAATATGGAAGACATGGTACTTTGGTTTTTATTAGCCCAAAATTAATGGTCGTAAATCACATCCTCAGCAGGGTCTCATTCTTATTGATCTGTTTGCTTGTGTCATTAGGATTTGAAAATGGAACTGTTTCCTCAATAAATTTGACTGACATGTGTTAAGTTTCAAATAATTAAGCAATTCAATCAGACGTTAATACTCTGCAACTTTATATCTTTCAATGAGCAGTCATATACTAATTTTATCACTGGTCAGTTTTTTTATATTAAATTGTGTCTGTTTGCTTGTGTCATTAGTATTTGAAAATGGAACTGTTTCCTCAGTAAATTTGACTGACATGTGTTAAGTTTCAAATAATTAAGCAATTCAATCAGACGTTAATACTCTGCAACTTTATATCTTTCAATGAGCAGTCATATACTAATTTTATCACTGGTCAGTTTTTTTATATTAAATTGTGAATCTGGATATGATATAACAGTTATAAATGTAGAATTGAGCACGGAAGTGTCGGTGTGTCACCTGCTGCAGCTTGCATACCTAATAGGCTAATGGAATGAAAAGGGTACCAAAAGGCATATAGTCTAGATCAAGGTCCTGCTTCAATTACTAGATAGATGTGATAACCCTGATAATAATTGGATTATACGATAAGCATGAACCAAAGAGGAATTCACCCAGGAAACTGACCTTGATAAAGTACTGGTACATCCCACTTGGTTGTTCTTCAGTCCATTGAACACTGAATTAGATGGAAGATATGATTAAGGTGAAGAAAAAATGTATGGTGGTATGCCATCGTCTAGGTCTTGTACATGACCAACATAAAACGATTAAGAAAAAAATAGCAGGTACCTGTCAAGAGGATTCAGGACCCCAGGGAAATAATCACCAAAAGCTAATCTATTGATCTTGTGACTTATCTATATCCAGTTTTCATGAAGCATGATAACATTAGACAATCATTTTCGGATAAGACATGCTAATGTACACAAAGAATGGGAACAAAAGGGCTATATCTTACATTAAAACTGTCCTTTTGAAATGCAAGCAGGTCATGTACATGAACATTTGATTGCTGAAAGCTTTTCCCAGGTGCAAAATGAAAATTCCCCGCCACCTTATTAACTTCTAAAAAGCCATATATATTACACCCCTCACCTTCTTCATCCTTAATCTTCTGAAGAAAACCCTCCCTCTTGCACTGGACAATAGAAACACGAAAGCATAAACCAGGGTCACATCAAGTCATGTTGGTCAATTGGGTTAAGACCAGTATGAAAGAGGGAACAGACAAAACCTTTGGATAGGCCAACCAGAAAGCAATAAACTACTATACATAAGCATACACTAGGATATTAGTTCAGGCAAACTTGTGTGTGTATTTGCATGTCTCAACTATCAACAACTAAAAGTTTCAGTTAGTCTGCAACAAAAACCATATCGGTGGTCATCCAGATACAGGACCAACACATAAGTATTTATCTTAA